TTATTATTATTATTATTATTATTATTATTATTATTATTATTTTTCCATCCAGGGATTCAACTTTAGTTCTTCTCCCTTTTCCTCACACAGTGGAGCAACATTTGTATCAAATGCTGGCTGATAGTTTACCTAATTTTGCTCTTCCTTCCCTTCCTAATGGGGGAGCACAAATGGTTCCCCCAGTCCCCAGTGAGTGATGGTGGTGATTGTAAGAAATTGTCAGGATTTTTATTTATTTTAATTTCTTTGGATTTCTCTCTTTCGTTGGACAGATCTAAATGTAACATCAAGAAGCCCCAAGCCAGAATTCTTTCTTAAAGCTGGAGATCCACTTTTCTTGCGATGTCGAGCCCATTATCCCAATTACGAGTTTGGAATTAAGTGGGATTTTGAAAACAAGCAATTAATGAAGGTAATAAGATTTTCCTTGCAGCAAGTACTAGTCATAGATTTGAATGAGTACATTAATTACTAACTTTTTAAAAATTTGACTTTAATATGAATTTTACATTTTTGGATCTTTCCATGCCTCATCTTGAAAAAGAAATTCAGTACACATATCTGTGAAGCTATTGCATTTTATCATATACTGAAGGTATAGTCAAAGTGTGGCCCCTCGAAACTCCCATTGGCCCTAGTCACTGTTGCCAGTGATGTAGAATGCTGGGAGATGCAGGCAAAGAACACTTTGTCCATCCCAGTCTATCCCAAGGAATCCACAAACATTGTGTTACCTGCCCTCTTACATGTAAAAGCAGGGAGCATGTCCTTTTTTGATATCATTGCAGGGGGAGTGACGGGGAGTCTTGACATCCTCCTTCCCAGCTCTGAAGGCTTACTATTGTTGAGGCTCAAAATGTTCAGACAGCATTAAAAAGTCTCAGTGCTCTTCAGGTATTTCCTAAACCCTAGACCACTGTCAGAATGAAGCTCTATTCTTTTAGCTCACCAGAAATATTGGAATCCTTCTACCTGTTTCATTCATGAAGTGATCCACAGTTAGACAAAACCATTTCTTTTTTTACCAAAATGCAAGAAAAGTGTGTGAGTGTTCAAGTTCCCCAGAACTCTTAACAGCCTTGGTGCTACCAAAAATTATGGGACTAGAAGAAACAGTAAGGTCCAGATTTTGCAACTAAGCTCAGAACTTAATTGGACAATAAATTTATCACTTTTATCTTGCATTTGGTATGTTTTATTTTGCAGGTGGTCATTTGCAGATAAACAGGTTTAATTTACAAGTATGATTGCTAAGGAAAATATATATTTGGAAAAATCCCAGTGTGGGAATACACATTCCCCTTAATGACTAAATTGACCTATAGATTCAAGGAGATGGCAGACTGAATGAATCACTGGTGCATTCAAATTCTTGAAATTTGTACTAGATGTGCTTGTAAATGCAAGTGCATTTTAGGGGCCTATATCTATTCTGTCTCTGAAACAAAACACACTAGTTAAGGTCATACTACTTAAACATAATGGGTTGGATCCAGACTTATATAGTCTCACATTGAGTCAACCAAAAAGACTAAATTGTGAGTCTCAGTTATAGTAGTCCATCTAATCCAGTGATTCTCAACCTTTTCTATGTCAAATACCCCTAGAAAGTGTTTGATTACTGTTCAACCCCCTACAAAAGTAATATTGTGTATGAAGATGAAGAAGTCTAAATTCTAATATTTGAATCACAAATTGAACCACATATAGTACTGTGGGTGAACAAAATGATTTTTTTAAAAAATAAGCATTTAACTCAGTATATAAAATGCAAATCTAAATTGAGCAATTAGTTCTAATTTAGGAGATTAGAAAGGAGAAATATAGTAGTGATGGGTGATTTCAACTATCCTGATATTTGCTGGAATTAAAACTCAGCAAAATCCTCAAGGTCTAGCAAATTCCTCACTTGCCTTGAAGACAATTTAATTGTCCAAAAAGTGGAAGAGGCAACAAGGGAGTCAGCTATTTTAGATCAGATCCTAACTAACAGGGAAGACTTAGGGCCTTTGCAGACTGCTAGAAATAGTGCAAATTGAGTCCACTTTAACTGCCATGGCTCAGTGCCAGGGAATCATGGGAATTGCATTTTTTTTCTCAGACATTGAGCCTTCTTTGTCAGAGAGCTCTGGTGCC